AGCAACAGGACTGACGCTCCCTGGAATGGATATGGAGCCCCTGTTTTATGAAAAACAAAAAACAAAAAAAAAAAAAAAAAGCCCCCCCCCCCCCCTCTCTAACGGCTCCTTGAACAGAAGGAAAACCGAAAAAGAATAAGTGCGTCCCATCTCACAGTCCTCCGGGCCTCTGCACCCACCCTGAGCGGACGATATTTCCTCTGATACTGAGGACTTTTGAGCATCCACCCGTCGATGGCCATTTAGACTGCCACTTGTGCTCACAATACGCTTCACTAAGTTCACTCAATTTTTTGGGGGAAAACAAAGGAAGACTTTCACTTCCAGTAGTTTGATGGATAAAACTAAAACTGGGAAAGTTACTAAGGAAGCATGCAGGGGCACTAAATAGAAAAGCTGTCAAATGGGACACTGGACCCGATTTCCAGTACGAGCCTAATCGGGGTAATGGCCCCAGTCTTCCGGGTTGAGATGGGGAGGGATTCCCGGCCTCCTTTTGCTCTATATATAATGAAGCATGCTATTTGTTAACAAAAAAAAAAAAAAAAAAAACTGTCAAAAGCACCAGAAGCCGTCAAAAGCGCCAGCTATACCTGCCAGTAGCATATGACAAGATGCATTGATATATTCTGTTTTCTGCTTGGAGAACAATCTTTTTTTTCTTTCTTAACACGTTCTACTCGGGTGACGACGGTAGCTCCAGTGAAGAAGTTTACAGTAACAACCTTTTTCTTTTTCCCCTTTCTTTAACGCTTCCTAAGTTCCTGACTCCCCAGAATGGATATGGAGCCAGGACCAAAGGACCTGATTTAAAAATAAAAAAAAAAGAAAGTTAAAAATACAATTTAAAAAAGTTCCTTCCTCCTTCCAATGGACTACGTGTGTTGCGGATGAATCATAAAATTGTAAGTTCAGAAAATTTTGAAAGGCACTACATCTTGTCCTTCGGGACATCTGTTAAAATCGGAACGGTACACAGAAGGGTGATTTAGCAAATGGCCCCTGCGCAAGGATGACATGCATAAATTGAGAAATTGTCCCCCTCCCCCCCCCAAAAAAAATAAAAGGAAAAAACTTCAAAAAACTTCAAAAAAGGAGGGAAAAAAAAAAAAAAAAAAAAAAGGACAGTCAAATGAGTCAATCCTCCTACTAGGGAGCAATCAATGCTGATCAGGGACCCTTTGGCCATACGGAAGGAAGTGAGAGTGTGTACATTATGTATCTCAATTTTGACTTGCTGGTGGAATAGGAATCGGACTGACGCTCCCCAGATTGGACAAGGAGCCAGGACCAATCAATGACCTGATTACAAAAAAGAGAAAAAAAGAAAAAAAGAAAGAAAGGCAGTCCATCGGAAAACCTTTCTTATCCAAAACAAAGGATAGTACATAGCAGTATATTAGGAAGGATACGTCCGAAACAGCCTCGATAAGGTTGCAAAATTTGCCATGAACATATCGTTCTCTCAGCAGATGTTAATTGCGGTCACTTTGGTCAGTAGTTTAGTTCATATTTTTTCAATCTCATATATGTCTGAGGATCCTTTTTTGCCTCGCTTTATGTGCTATTTAGTATTTATCTATTTTTACTTTTTTTAATTGCTCCTTTGCACTGGTTGTTCTCTCAGGCGCGATGGCGAAGGAAACGCTGCAGTAGTACGCAGCGAAATGGACACGGCTTATTTTATTTATCCAACCGCAAAGTAAACATACAGCAGCAGCTGCTGCTACACGAGCAGAACGTGCAACAACGATCCAAGGCAGCATACGAAAGCGGAAGCTTAGTTCCGATCCGCAACCCCTTGTCATGAGCAACGTGCATTACATCACCAGTACTATATGACCCTTCTTTGCCAAAGCCTGAAAACACCCTGTGCACGTGCACACACACACACAAAAAAAAAAAAAAAAAAAAAAAAGAACCGGGCCCAACCGGCACATTTTCATTTTCGGCTGGTGCCGTCAGACATTAAGCTCCGGTACGCTGCGCCACGAACATCGCGGAGTGTGCGCAGTTGCAATGGAGAAAACAAAAGGCTGGGAATCAATCTGTTAAGTGAAGGAAAAACAATCAATCTGTTAAGGACCGCCATTATGAAGCCACACAGGAGAGTGGCCAAGTCACTAAATGTGACAAACTGTAGGTCTGTTTGAGATTTTTTATTTTTTTGGGGGGGGTTGGGGGGGTTTAAACAGGTCCTTATGTCCCTGGCCCCATTTCCATTCTGGGGAGCATCAGTCCAGTTCCTATTCCACCGGCAAGTCAGAAATAACATACTGTTTGAGATTGTATTTCTACTATTCTACCTAGGTTCGAATTCAGCGCTTCCAACATCGTACTTACGATTGTGATATTCGAGAGCATGCCCTTGGCAGCACTGTGGGCATTCTAAGACCAAAAGAAAAAGGAAACAGCAAAGATCAACAGAAAGAGGAACTGAGGGGGGGGGGGGGAAGAAAACAAAACAAGAAAAAAAGAAGAAAAAAGAAAGAGGAAGTGCGTTCAAGCAGCCCTGAACAGGGAATGTGAAAGGAGGGTGGCTGGGCAGAGAACATTTCTGCAATGTCCGAGTTCTGTAACTTCTGTTCCATCATCTTCCTATACCCACCTTCTCCAGACCTGCACACTTCTTTTCCAGATGTTGTTTTTCACGTGTTAGCACCTCCACCGACTTGCCCAATTCCTTGATTTCTCTTTTTGCTTCATCAACCTCCTGCACACCCATTACAACAGTCACACACACACACACACACATGCACAAGTGCGCACACACACAAACATGAGCCAAAGCTTCTCTCTCTCTCTCTCTCTCTCTCTCTCTCTCTCTCTCTCTCTCTCTCTCTCTCTCTCTCTCTC